CTTCCACCTACCGCACCCCTGGCCGCACCCCACTCTGGAGATGCAGCGAAGGTCCCCTGCCAACCCCGTGGTCCCGTATCCCGTCCCTCACTCTGGCCCGCATTCTAAGTTATTTCCCGTACTTTCTCAATCCGATCTTGCCTCCCACGACTATTTTCTGCCTGGATCGCATTCTAATTTTAAAAATCATTATTCATAGAATCGTAGAGCTGAAAGGCATCTCAAAATACCTCAAAACAAAAGCGGGCTTCCCCCAGGGGTATTTCAAGCCAGAAGAATGCCGTACGCTTAACAATGCCTTTGAATAGTGCACGACAAAATGTACCGCACGTAGCATCAATACCTAGTGAGGTTCCGTGCAGGTTTTCTCTGAGTACAGCTACTCTTTCTCGCCAACTACAGGAAGATGTTGATCAAGTCACTCTTTATAGCTACAAAGTCCGGTCCACTATCACTTCTCGTGTGGCCAACACCATGATCCAAAGCAAACTGGTGAACAACTCCCCACAGCCTCAGACCATCGTGTTCGACGTGCAGATTCCCAAGGGAGCCTTCATCTCCAACTTCTCTATGTGAGTAACTCCCGTTCAGAACCTGAAATTGGGCGCGCTCTACGCACAGAATCACGGCGAGAACGGCCCTTCCCGGGCATCTGCTCCAGGGGTTCTGATTCTCAGTTCTGTAGAGCCACCGGATGCCCAGGGGCATCGCGGAGGGGGGTCCCCGTAATTGGCTTTGGATCAAAGTATCAGAATTTGTGAAAGATTTGCTTTTTCATTTCTAATAATTTAAAGTGACTTTAAACCATCTCTATGGTAACAACCTCCGAAATACTTGAATTTTAATGTGCTTTCTTAGGGGGTAGAAATATATGAAGTTGCCCTGGCTTCCAGGACACCATATAAGAGTGTGTGTAGTTTAGTGTCATCTGTCACATGTTTCTCTACGGAAAAAAAAAAAAAAAAGAGGATCACTGATTAAAACTAATCATCTGTCCAGTGATCAAATTCCTCTGTTACGCCACCGTTAGCCAGGCTTGACTTGAATACCTCCTTAATGATAAACTCACTACTTCACAGGGCAATTCACTCAATGGCTGACCGGTCAGTTAGAATTATGTGTTATACTTCACTGAAATCTGTTTCATTTTCTACCCAATGCCTCCCGCTCATGCATTTCCTTTTAATTCTCTACGAAACGCATACTGAAGTGTTTGAGGATGATGAGAGTGACATGAGATGCTGTCTGAGATTTGCTTCGAAAGACTCGAGGTGACCAGACGGGGGAAGCAGCGAGGTGTAGACAACTGTGATTGGCTGAATATTGATAATGTAGCTCAGTGATGGTTTCAAGGATGTTTCTTACAATATTCTCTCTATTTTTTGTATGTTCGAAGAGTTCCACAATAAAAAAAATTTTTTTTTTTTACATGACTCCAATGCCTTTCAAACAATGAAGGCCAATTAATATCCCACCCGGCAGCTTCGTTTATCAAGGGTAAATGTCCTTCGAAGTGACTGGATGGCTCCTATCCCCCGATGCTTCAGGTGGCCAGTCCCAGAGGGTGCATCTCTTGGTCAGCGTCCTTTTCAAGCTGTCTAGCACGGAGCACAAGGCCCTGCATCCGGTCTGGCTATTTTCTGTTCAGATATTATATTGCGTTACTTCTCACCTGCTATTGTCTCTCATATACCAATGATAAGTATTAATAAATAAAGAGCTCAAATACCACGCACGCTGGCTTCTAAAAACTGTAGAGACAGAAAACTATATTTCCTAAACAAACGAACAAAAAAAAAGTAGATGGAAAAGAGGCATTATGTAGCTTTGATTTGATATCCTTTGATTTGGCTTAGAAATTTACTCAAAAAATATTTTTCGTCAGACTTTTCTAAAAAGCAAATGTAGAAAGAAGACCTTTAATGTAGTGGTATTCTGTAATGCCATGTCTGAAAATTATATTTAAAACTACATTAATAAATTCTTATTTTTAATTCCCAAAACCAGAATTCATGCTAGGTATATCTTCTATTTCTCTTTTTCCCTCAACTCATTTCCTAGAAGATTTGAGGTGATAAAAGACAGAAGAGTAAATATAGATTTATTTTGGTTTCCCTCTACACGGGGCTAAATTTATCAGACCAGGGAAGATATCATCACAATTTGATATGCGTTATGCAGACCTTCATATCTAAAGTATTTCTTCTGCCCTTCGATCAAGTTTCCAAATATTCTACTATTAGAGATGATTTCCTTTTGTCTTAAAGACTCTTTGGTCTTTGAACCTTAGTATGATTTGATGGAAACAGTGCTGACCTGGGTACATGGGGCCCAGTTCTAGCTCGCTCTCTGACCAACCGTGTGACCTTGAGCAAGTCACTTGTCTCCTTGGCTCTGATTTCTCTCACATAGAGGCGAACTTAGAAGTGTGCCTCAGCAAGCATACTCTTGGCGTCTGGGGCAGGAAAATTTTTACCGAACTGTCCTTCATAGTGCAGTGTCTGGCATTCCCGGTGCCCTCCTATTTTGCCAGTAGCACTTCTGAGTCATCAGAAGGACCTAAAACACTCTAACTTCCTTCCTGGGGGGAGATGCCGCCCACTCGAGCGCCGCGAGCCGCCTTTCGTTTCTAAAATTCTGCGATGCCACCACTCTGACCTGTCACTACTTGGTACGAATTATATGACAGCCAGCTACAAGTCACGGGGTAGAGACAAAGAAGTCGAGACAGAGGGGCAAAGGCGGAGGGCCCAGAGAAAGGCGTCAGAGGGACGAACGCAAACTCCGCAGACAGCGTGGTTTACCAGCACGCCCTCCATCTTTCCTGACTCTCTGCCACCCCTGAAGGAGAGAAGAACGCCCCCAGCTATGCCAGATCCATAACTGCTAAAGGCTGATCTTATCCACCATGTGTAAGCCAGATAACTCGAAATGTATCAGTCACCTGTCCTAGGCACATTCGTGATGCAAAAGAGATACCCAAAGAGAACAATGCTTAACCTGAAGGGTAAGATTTGAAAATGACAACTCCGCAGACAGCGTGGTTTACCAGCACGTCCTCCATCTTTCCTGACTCTGCCACCCTGAAGGAGAGAAGAACGCCCCCAGCTATGCCAGATCCATAACTGCTAAAGGCTGATCTTATCCACCATGTGTAAGCCAGATAACTCGAAATGTATCAGTCACCTGTCCTAGGCACATTTGTGATTCAAAAGAGATACCCAAAGAGAACAATGCTTAACCTGAAGGGTAAGATTTGAAAATGAGGAAAAATTTTAAAAACAAGCAACAGCAGCGAGGGTCGGCTTTTAGAACGAAGGCCTACGAGTCCCTCTGAAATCGCACTGTCAGATCAAGGGACTCCTGTCTACGATACCCGCCCACGTCTCTCTTCTTGTTCCTTCGATCACCCCTACCACGCATGAAACCCACCCAGCTGGCCTGTCTGCTTGTTTGGGGTTTGTTTTGCTAAATCCACTATGCAGACCAATGGGTGTCTGTCTGTCGCTTTCAGGACTGTGGACGGCACGACGTTCACAAGCTCCATCAAGGAGAAGACCGCGGGCCGCGCGCTCTACGCCCAGGCCAGGGCGAAAGGCAAAAGCACGGGGCTGGTGAGGTGAGGACTCGGTCTCGTCTCCGCGGGGTGCGAGGGCCCAGAAAGCCACGCGGCCCTCCGGCCGAGCGGGCGACGCGTCCCCCTTGCTACTCCGGCGGGGTCTGCGGCCACGGGGCGGGGCCCTTTGCTGAAAGAGCTTGTCCGGCAGTGCGGGGGGGCCGGCGACAACGCCCCCCGCACTGGGCTGGGCCCCGCGCGCACCTGCGGAGTCACCCCACCTGGGAAGGAACGCGTGTTTTTGTTCCCAGCCGCAGATTCCCAGCCTGGGACGCGCCGTGGCGCGCGCGGCGCGCGGCTGCGTGAATCCGCGGGGAGCAGGTGCCCGTCGTAGAGTCCAGCTACTTACTCAGTTACCTCGCGGGGGCGGGAGGGCGCCCCTAAATCCGGAGATGTTCACTAGCGACTGTGTTCAGAAAGGAAGGTTTGGGATTTGTTTTAGTCCTGCTTTTAATTTCATTTCTTCTGCCTTCTTTTTACGGGGTGAGCCTTTTCCAGCGCCTGTTACTTAGCTTAGATGCGGCTTGGTTTCCTCCTTGGAATCATAACTGAGACTCTGAGAATGCCAAACCGCCCTCAAGAAAGCGGCCTCGCGAGCAAGAGGCTCGGAAGAAAGCCAGCACCCCTCACACTGCGTATCTAGTCTCCCGCCAGACCCCGCCCCCCGTCATTCAGCCCCTCCTCCTCCACCTCCCCAATGTACTTTCACTTGAAATTTTTTCATTTCCTTCCTGCCTTTATCCATTCAAAGAAGATGCACTGAGCTCCGTACCCGGTTCTGTACCTGGTGCCGGCAACACCGCAGCCAACTGCAGGCCAGCGGGTGGAGGAGGCGACCAAGGAACCTAGAATATAGAAGCGGCTTGATATACACAATATATAGGTGGCGACAATATAAATAACGAATTTTATTTCCCGCTTCTGTTTTCTTCAGCTCCCCGATATCCCAAGCTGGCGTCCCACGGTACCCATTCTCACCGTCACATCTCCCTTATTTAGTCATTGAATTTTTAAAAAATCATTCCTTGTTCATCTTAAGGCTCGAATCACCCTCATTTTTGATCATTTCTCTTTAAAACCCTACATGCCTCGAGATCAATGACGACACTGGACTTGATACAGCCATGACTAAATAAGGTCGTATGCTGGGAATATGTATAGTCACGTCGATGAAATGATGATTTCTCGTTTCTGAATGAGTGTCCAGTGCCACAGGGGAAGCGTGTCTTTGGAGTCGTCTAAAGTTGGGTCTGCGTCCTGGCCCTTTCATTGGCTAGCACCCCACCCCCGCACCCCGTTCTCGAGCAGGTTACTAACTCTCTATTAGCCTCGCTTGTATTCTAATCTGATAAGCGAGGGCACCGATGTCTGTCTCGCAGAGCTGCTTTATTAGAGATGACACGTGTCAAATTCCTGGCACCTAATAGGGATCGATAACTGGTAGTCCTTTGCAAGTGACCTTCAGATCTGTAAGCAGCTCTGGAAGAAAAAGAACAGGTGGGAGAGGAGACAGAAACCATTGATGGGATTCAGTTTCCCTGGCAGCTTCGGTTATTTCTGTCGTCCCTACTGTTCACTTTCATGACCAGCTGAGCAGGGGTCATTGCCCAGGACAGCCTGGACACCCTCTGCCTAGATCCTTGGGCTCGGTATTCGGTGGGCCTCGCGCTGGGCGGGGCGCGTGCTGACTCACATCGGGGGCTCGCGCCTTTAGGAGCAGGGCTCTGGACATGGAGAACTTCAAGACCGAAGTGAACGCCGCCCCCGGAGCAAAGGTGCAGTTTGAACTTCACTACCAGGAAGTGAAGTGGCGGAAGCTGGGGTCGTACGAGCACAGGCTTCACCTGCAGCCGGGGCGACTGGCCAAGCACTTGGAGGTGAGCGTGATGTGCCCGGTGTGTTTTTTTTGTTGTTGTTGTTTTTTAAGAGCTGCAGCTGTTATGAGGCCCGGTGTTAATAAGAACATAGGTGACGCTTGGTAAAAAGAAAGTGTTTGCTAAAATTCTCTACTCACTGTTATTGCTGCCTGGGAATTCCTGCAACATCACGGACCTTTCTACTCCTCTTTGAATGAGATCCGTTGCTCTTTGCCTTTTCACTCCAGCTCAGGATTTTTCTTAGCCACTGATATGAGAGTTGGATACGGAAGTAAGTTCCCACGTCCAGTTCTAATTTTCATACAAAGGCTTGGGACTTGGTGTTTCCTCTTTCTGCAGCCCGATATCTCCCGGATCTAACGATACTCGGTCTCTTCGGCACCCTCTCTGTGGAAGCGAGCTAGAATTCCCTCACTCTGTGGTGCTCGATGCCACTCGGATCGGCAGTATACGGAAAAGGTTACGGGTTTGGCGTCCCCAGGCCACTTCCTTGCAGGTTTCAATGGCCGCTCGGCTTCTTACGAGCTGTGTCAGTTCCCTAGCACTGCTGTAACAAACGACCACAAACTGGGTGACTTAAAACGATGGAAATATGTCCTCTCACAGTTCTGGAGAACAACAGCCTAAAATCGACCTGTCGGCAGGGCTACGCTTCTAGATGCTCTAGGGGAGAGTCTGTTCTGTGCTTCTTCTGGTGCCTGGCAGCTGCTGGCATTCTCTGACATGTGGCCTCACGGCCATGTCCCTCCAATCTCTGCCTCTGTAGTCACAACACCTCCTCTGTGTGTCCCAAATCTCCCTCTGCCTTTTCTCTCATAAGAACACTTGTCATTGGATTTAGGGCCTCCTGGTTAGCACAGGTTAATCTCATCTCGAGATTCTTAACTGCATCTGTGAAGAGCCATTTCCAAGTGAGGTGACACTCACAGGTACCAGAGATTTGATGTAGACACATCTTTTCGGGGCACTGTCATTCAGCACACTGCACCAGCCTTCTGACGTGGGACAAGTTATCCCGAGTGTCCGTGTCTTCATCCGTGAAAAGGGTAGTGTCACATCCTTTGGGATGGGGCTAAAGAACAGTGTGACAATGACAACTGAAGAGACGGAGCTGACCGAAGCTGTTCAAAGCCAAGAAGGAGCGAATGAAGTAGTACGAGCTCGGACTCGGGGTTTGTAGCGTGCCTCAGCCCCATCCTAGCTGGGTCATTCTGAATCTCTGTTTTTTCCATCCATAAAATGAGAAATGACAAGTAAGAACAATAATACGTGATAATAATATCAATGAAAGTTAAATGAGTTCATACGTGTGATGTGCTCAGCACAGCACTTAGAGCATATAGAGAGAAATGGCAGCTGTGACTATGGTTTTGCCGAGGATCACCAAAAAGGGTTCCCTCCTAGTAGGTCTGCTGGAAGCAAGAAGACAGAAAAGTAATTAAAAGGCCCAGGATGTGGGGTAGTGGTCTGTTATTGACAGATCTACCGAGTAAATCCAGACTTATTTAACAATGGCTTTCCTTTTTTTTTTTTAATCCTAACAAAAGGAATGCTTTTATGAATGAATGGAATGGAATGGAATGGAATGGAATGGAATGGAAAGAAACTAGAATAGAATAGAATAGAATAGAATAGAATAGAATAGAATAGAATAGAATAGAATAGAATAGAAGGGAAAGACTAGAATGAGACAAGGAATTAAATCCCAGGGAAACGAAGCAATAGCAGGCGAGCACTGAGTTGCTGGAGGGGTCTTCAGCCCCCATGGCGAGATGCATCGTATCCCACAGAATTTAAAGAACATGCAGAAGTGATCTCGGAACCGTGCTGGGTCATCTTTGGGAGACCCGGAAGATGAGAAGAGCAGCAGAGGACTTAGTCATTGTCCTTCTTGCTCGAAAAGACTTGAAAGATATTTTGATGCCCTGAGTAATTTTCTTTCCCATCCCTAGGTGGACGTGTGGATTATTGAGCCTCAGGGATTGACATTTCTTCATGTTCCTGACACATCCGATGGCCATTTCGATGGTGTTCCGGTCGTGTCTAAAGGACACCAAAAGGTACCATGAGCACTGCATGTCGCAGAGTCTGAGTGGCCGGCAGGCATGGGTTCTGCTCTCCTCCTGTCCTCTGGGGACTAGAAAAGCGGTCAGGTGTTGAGCCGAGTGGACTGCATGAAGAGGCCGTGATCCCTGAGCAAAGTCTAGGGTCTCCCACGGGATACACAAAACTCCCGATTGTTTCATTACATTTTAACCAGGGACTGTTTCTTTTGGAGCCGCATTTCCCCCAAGTCATCGCTTGACCAGTAACTAAAAGACAGCTCTCACATAACATACGGTGCGGTCCATTAATCACAGCAAGAGATACTCTCTCTGCCCTAACGGCCAAGGATACCCAGCTAGGGAACAGTCAGATTCCTCTAAGAGCTTTTCACAAACTCTTCCTAGAGCCGGCAGCCACGTTTTCCCTGGGGGAAGGGAGACAACCTCTGAATCTCTTAAAAAGGCCGGAAACCTGGCCAACAGCCCCGGGGGCTGGCAGATGCTCCCCTCCCGTGCCTTCTCGTGGTCCCTTCCATCCGAAACAGGACTACTGATGCCGCCTGGGTGCAGAATGACCGTGGGTCACTGGACCACACCTCTGCAGCTGTCAGCCCCTCCCCCGCACGGGGCTGGGGACAGAGACCGGGCCCTGATGTCACCGTCCTTTCCAGGCACACGTCTCCTTCAAGCCTACGATAGCTCAGCAAAGAAAATGCTCCGGCTGCTCCGAGACCGCAGTGGACGGGGAGCTGGTGGTGGTGTATGACGTCAAGAGAGAGCAGAAGGCCGGGGAGCTTGAGGTGGGTGACCGTGGGTCCGCGAGGGCCACCTCGCCGAGGGCGAGGACCTGTTTCTTGTCGAACAGACTCCCTGGCCGCTGGGCAGTTGCCGGCTGCCGAGGCAGGTGACCAGGCTGCAGAGTCGGGGGCCGACATCACCTTTCTTTAAATGTCGCTGAGCATCGCCCGCTCACGGCAAGAAAACGGAATAAAGGCTCGTTGCGTCTCATGTTCTCATCCCGGAAAGGTATTTCCAGAATACCTCGTGCGAAGAACAACAGACAATCATAAAACGGGAGTCTCTGATAACTTTCCAAGGCCCTGCGCAGCTAGACAGCAAATAGAGCACAGAGGTTAGGGGCTGGGAGGGCAGAACGTCCAAAGCCTGCAGACAGATCCGGGCCCATGGTGAATTGTCTGATGGATGTTCCTCGCGCGATTCCTGAAGCTTCCTTTCCCCCGTGTTGTGCCCTAGCTGTGTGTTCCCATGTCTCCTGAGCTAACGTAAGAGCCCTTGGAGAGCACCCAAAAGCTTGTGCTTCTCTCCAGGGACAGTGCAGCGGGGTGTCCACAGCTGCACACCCTAGAGCTGGACCCCGTCGAGTCTTGGTGGAAGGAATCAGAGGGCGGCGGGGAGAGATTGTGGGGTGCCCATCATTAGAGCCTACAACGGAAGACGGAGAGGGTGGAACCCAGCTGGAGTGGCCTGCCATCACCCCAAGAACAACCCAGACTCCCCAGAATGCCCATAGAGGGGGCTCCACCATCTGCCCTGCTGGCTATCTGCCCTAATTGCCCGGATTCTTAGATTCTGTGGCCCCGAGCGAGCCGTGTTCACTCACGGCCAGAGCTGCCCACTCCTGAACTCTCCGCCCCAACCCTGCCCCCGTAACCTGGTCCGGCCCCCACCCCGGCAGGCTAAGCCCAAACTCACACTGGAGCCCAGAGCCCAGCGTAGATGCCATTTCCTTGGGACTAGCCACCTGTCTGAGTTCCAGGCTCCCGCGCTGGGCATTCTCAGAGCCTTTATTGACTGATGGTGGCACCTCACGCCCTGAGCCGCCCTCCTGGTCTGGGGCCTCCACGGGCTCGTGAGCTCATCGGGGAAGGGGGTCTACAGTGGCCAACACGGTGCCCGGAACAGAGGCCGTGGATGAGGACAGGGTGGGCGAAGGAGCGAGGAGCGAGGGGGCAGCCTGCCGAGAAGGCTCGGACCTTCGCAGGAATGGGAGGGGGGACAGGCCGGAGGACGCCGAGCGGCCTGGTCCGTGCTCCCCTCACGACCACCGCGCCTCCCGCTCAGCAGCACGCGTCTCCCCTCTCTCGGTTCCCAGGCCCCCGTCTTCCCGCGCTCCCAACGCTGGCGATGGTTTGTTCCGTGTTCTGTTTTTCAGGTATTTAACGGATATTTCGTCCACTTTTTTGCTCCCGACAACCTGGACCCGATTCCCAAAAACATCCTCTTTGTCATCGACGTCAGTGGCTCGATGTGGGGGATAAAAATGAAACAAGTAAGTGCCCCTTGGCGGCGGCGATACGCGGGGCCCCCCGCCGTCCCTGATCCCCCCCAAAGGCGCCCTCATTCACGCTCGGGCTGCTGCGACAGTAACACAGCCCGGGGCGCTGAGGAACAGAAAAAATTTATGCCCAAACCAGGCTTTTTGAAAACGGCTTCTCTGTATAACCTCATAGTCTCTTGACCCTCTGCGTGGCGTCTTCCCTACATCCTGCCCCCGTTCACAGTAGCTCTATGGCGCGCGAATCATCTTGTGCGAATCTTTTCTAATCGTCCCGGAATTCTCTGGGGGCGGGGAGGGCCACCCTGTGTCGCGTCTCCCAGTTTAGAGCTCGACCTAGGAGCATTCGGCCTCAGACGGTGCAGATGAAATTCCAAAAAACAAACGAGGAAATTTTTTATTTTGCTCATCAGTCCATCCAGCCAGCCAGTTTGAACAAGCCACTGTCCATGTCTTCATTCATTCACTCATTCCTCCCTCCCTGCCTTCCTTCAACAACCGTGTCTGACCACCCACGCGTTCGCGCTCTCCTGGGACCCAAAAGATGGAACAGATGCGTCCCCCGCACGGTGTGCTCACGTCCCCCGCACAGTGTGCTCCGTCCCCCGCACGGTGTGCTCACGTCCCCCGCACGGTGTGCTCCGTCCCCCACACAGTGTGCTCACGTCCCCCGCACGGTGTGCTCCGTCCCCCGCACGGTGTGCTCACGTCCCCCGCACAGTGTGCTCCGTCCCCCGCACGGTGTGCTCACGCTCCAACGCCAGGGTTCCCAGCGGCGGCACTGCTGGCATCTGGACTGGACGGTTCTTTGTTGTAGGGGCCGCTCTGTGTGTCGAAGGCTGTTGGCGCTGGGGGCCTCTTCCCCACTGGCTGCCGGCAGCACCACCCCCTCAGGTCATGACAATGAAAAATGTCTTCATACATTGCGAAATGTCCCCTGGGAGGGGGCCTTTGCCCTCACCTGAGAGCCGATGCCCTAATGCAACAGTTATTCACTGCTTCCTTCCTTCCTTCTTTCCTTCCTTCCTTCCTTCCTTCCTTCCTTCCTTCCTTCCTTCCTTCCTTTAATAAATATTTATTAAGCACCCACTACGTGTCAGGCACTTAATCATCAGTAACGAAACCAACCAAAAACATTAAAAAAAAAAACATCCCTGCCCTCAAGGAGCTAATGGAGCTTACATTCTAGAAGAAGGGTTCGGAGAATAAACAACAAACATAGTAAGTGTAAAAGTGTCTTCAGTGGTGCTGTTATGAAAAAGAGCTTTCCTTTTCTTTCTTT